CAGGGCAACAACTTGAGGCTCTATCTCAGAAAAAAAAAAAAAAAAGACATTCTTTTCTCTACTTTGTTACCACCCTGGGGGAGGGATAGAAGAGACTCTATGTAGGGGGTAGGGATAGGAAGTCCTGTCTCTGTCAGTCCCTGGTTGCGCCCACGTTTCCCACCCAAAAGTTCTAGCTTTATTTCACACCATTGTTCCCTTAGCGCAGCGGTTCTCAAACGTCCTAATGCCACGGCCCTTTAATAGCGTTCCTGTGGGTCGTGACCCACAGGTTGAGAACTGCTGCCTTAGAGGAATGCCTGGGTATAATGCTGCTCTCTGCAGCATTTCTACATTTGCAGTAGGGTTAAAGTCAGCTTTCATTCAAACACACAGAGAGAGAGAATAAATATATATGTCATGGTATAGCTGAAAGAGCACTGAACTTGGAGTTGAGAATGATGGGCAGTCCAGCAGAGTGGTAACAAGCCTCTATTTTGGAGCGGGGATGCCTGAGTTCAAATCCACTTAGAATCTGTACAAGCCCTGTGACTAACATGGGCTTGTTAGGAGGTAAATGAGTTACCATATTTTCTGCACCCACATTTTTGACTTAAAGACAGAATGATGGTCTTTGAAATACCAGTCTACCATCCTCCTTATCTGCTAGCTAATCACAGTATTTTGCTATGTATAATGCATACTTTTTTGCCAAAATTTTTGAGGGAAAAATAAGGATGTACATTATACAGAGTGGACATAAAGTTCATGTACAATTTAAAATAGTTGTAACTTGGCTGCAACACTCTCCTGCCTGGGCCTACCGGGTGCACAGTGATCCATCCAGGAAGATCTGGGATCTGGTGGGACTGGCTTACAGTGGCCTCCACCAAGCACCCTGATGGGGCGGGAGGAGGTGGTTGTGGAGCTGGCAAGGCCAGCCATGGCTCGTGTGGGGCAAGGGCCATGGCCCAAGGCCTTGCTGCATGGAGGGGGCCAGGAGCCTTTACAGACCCCAGGGACCTACTTGACTGCCCATGAGCCAACCAGTCTCGGAAACTCTCCCCTCACTGGACATAGATATGACCATCTTTTCTTTTCTTTTTTTTTTTTTTTTT